GTGTGTGTCTGGCATGGGGGCCATGCCATCTGCCTTCTGTCCCTGCAGTCTGCCTGGCTGTGTCTGCATCTCTGTGTGGCAGAGACAGAGGCATTAGGTGTGATTCAGTATTTGTGTGTGTATTTTTGTCAGTGCTTGAGACATATAATTTCTAGAGATTTTGAAGCCATGTTGGGGGGGAAGCTCAAAGAAAGGGTAAGGTATTGACGTACACGCTCAATCCTTTTTAAAAGTATCCTTGACACACTTCATAAGCATAAATCACAAAAAGACAGTGTGTGTAACTTCATACTTGATCAAGTCATCATATTTGATCATCATGTGATTCTACAGATTGAAAGCCCAGAATATTTGGGGAGAATGGGAGGAAAATCTAAAAAGTTTTCTAAATACTACCTTCTTCTCCATTCCATGAACACTCTTCAGTCTACAGAGACTAAAGACTCCCTTTGGCTGTAGTTTTACATGTTTGTGAATTTCTCCGACCCCTTTGCAACTGAACACTGAGCACCAACCATCAGAAGGAAAGAAACAAATAGCTAGTTAATTGTCATCCTGTTGACGCTTTTATTACCAAAGCGAAACTTTGTATTAAGAGTTCAAGCCATTGACTTGACTCATTAAAAATCAGAAATTTTTAAATAAAAACACGTTCTGTATCTTGCATTTCCCAGTAGGGATTCAGGTGGTATTAACCCTTCCATGTGTCAGCCCCTCTGATTGGAACAGGATGCTTTGATAATAGAAGTGGAAATAGCTGTATTTCATAAGTTTGGGGAGGGTTTTTCCTTGCACTGGACATTCGCCATTTACTTGGTCTTCAGCCAGGTGCAAATATGCACACATGCACGTGTTCGGGTCTTGGGGCAGAGTTCTTGTTACTCAGCCCCTGCTGATCGCTGAGTCAGTGTCTGCTTCTTGCCACCCTTGGTGGGATGGATCTGAGGGGAGGCAGAGGCTTCCTGGGTGGTAGAAATGCAGCTGATGGGAGGCAAGATGAGGGCTCTGGTCTTGCCTTTCCTAACTACGAGGTCACCAAGGTATCTAGCCTCAGTTTTGCCACTTCCCTAGGTCCCATTTTTTTCTGGCATCGCAGGACAAGGTCCCTTGGTCATAGGGGAGGGGCGCGGTGAGAGTAAAGGGCTCCGAATCCTCTCTGGTCTTGCCTTTCCTAACTACGAGGTCACCAAGGTATCTAGCCTCAGTTTTGCCACTTCCCTAGGTCCCATTTTTTTCTGGCATTGCAGGACAAGGTCCCTTGGTCATAGGGGAGGGGCGCGGTGAGAGTAAAGGGCTCCGAATCCTGCAGTGGGAGGCAAGAGACCAGGCTTCATTCTGGCCATGGTGGAGTTAACAGGAGCTGGTGAGGTCACCTCTGGCGCCGTTGTGCACAGATGGTCCTTGTTACGCACTTGTGGTTTTGCTGGTTGGCAATTCCAGACACACATTACTTTGTAGCTTTGGGGTGGATGAGGGGACAGGGGAACAGGGGAAGAGCCCAAGACAGACAGGCCAGACTCTGAATCCCACTCTCTCCCCCAGCTCTCCAGTCATGGCTCCTGTCTTGCTTGGGGAGGTCAGAGTAGGAGCCTGGAGTGTGCATTAAGAGGTTTCCAAAGACACCACCTTCCCCTCCACTCCCTCTTTCTCTTCTCTCCTGCCTCCCTCCTGCAGGGACCGCAACAGCGCTGTCCAAGAAAGGGCCTGGGGTTGAAAGGAGGTGAAGCTTTCTCTCTGTGCATGCTTGTGCATACGTACACATACGTGTGTGTTAGCGACAGAATGAGTGAGAGATTGAGATTAGTGTTTTATAGTTTTCTGCTATGACCCTCATCTACTTCTTTCATTTATGTGACTATGAGCAGTTCCAAAACCAGCTTTCTCTTAGCCTTGGTTTCCCTATCTATCCAAAGGAGAGACTGGGTGTTGTCCTGCCCACTCTGGCTGATATATTTAGCATCTGCATGGTGTGGGCATTGGCCAGGCAGAGTGGACAGTGACCTTGGGGCTGGGGCAGAGTTCTGGAGGCCCCTGCTATGTGTCACATGTTAACCATTTCATTGCTGGGGGTCCATAAGTTCCCAGCGGGGGATCAGTTTGGACAGGGAGGCGGTTGTCTCTTCCGGGAGCTCAGAGAAACAGTTTTTTGCCAACTAGTAGAGACAGTTTTTAATACTTTAAAACTATTTTACGTATTTAAATATTTAAAACATTTTTTTAAATATTATAAAATGTTTTAAATATTTAATATTTTAGAATGCAGCAACTTCACTGGTGTGAACTGGCAGGTGGGCGGCCATCCAGCTCTATGCCCATGCAGGTGTCTCTCTCTCAGTCGCATCCCCTCTCTCTCCCTCACCCCCCAGCCCTGTTCACCATGGGTGGCAATGCTGACGGACAGCCCTGCAAGTTCCCGTTCCGCTTCCAGGGCACATCTTACAACAGCTGCACCACGGAGGGCCGCACGGACGGCTACCGATGGTGCAGCACCACCGAGGACTACGACCGTGACAAGAAGTACGGCTTCTGCCCTGAGACCGGTGCGTGCTTGCCGCCTCTCCTTGCCCCTCAGGTCCAGCACCCTGCAGATACAAAACCCACAAGAGCCCCCCGAATCTCCTTTCCCCCAGAGGTGCTAGTCAGAATACTTAACAGCTGCTACGGCATGGGCACCAGAGTCACAACACACTGTGGGCATCAGTTCAGCCAAATTGGTATTGCCTGAATGCCAGGCCTGCCCAGGGCCCTTTCTGACTGACCAGCACATGTTTTCTCTTAGCCTCCCCAACAAGTGCTTCTCTCTCCCTCTCTCTGACCTTGCAGTCTCTCTTCCCTGCCTTTCCAAGTCTGTATCTCCACCTTCTAGGCTCTGTTTTTCAATGAGGACTCCTTCCCTCCTGCACTCTCTTCTTTCCTTTCCCCTCTCTTCCTTTTTTCTTCCTTCCCTCCTCTCTCCATCCTTCCTTCCCCCCTCCTCTCCTGCCTTTCTTTCTTCCCTTCCTCTAGCATGTAGTTACCGAGCAGAGCACCTGCTTTTTGCAGGAGACACATGGGTTGGTCTGCACAGGACTCTGCCCAATGGGCTCACCACCTAGGGGAGGGTGTTGCAACCATCAGCCCTGCCAACCTCCTTCACCTCTGGCCCCTCAGCCTCTGTCCATGGGAAGCCAGTGACAGCTCAGGAATTTGCCAATGGGCTCACCACCTATGGGAGGGTGTTGCAACCATCAGCCCTGCCAACCCCCTTCACCTCTGGCCCCTCAGCCTCTGTCCATGGGAAGCCAGTGACAGCTCAGGAATTTGCCTGGGTCTGAATCCCAGATCTGATACTTCCTAGCAGTATCTGCTCAGGCAAGTTTCTGAACCTCTCCGAGCTCCGATTTCCCCACGCATGAAATGGGGTAAGAGGGTTATTGTGGGGAGGGGTGAGTTGTGTGTGAAGCACTGGCTGCAGTGCCTGGGGATGAGCGAGTACTTGGTAAGAGTGGTTTGTCCATGTCAGCATCGTGTCATCATTTTCTGGTGGTGGCCTCAAACCCTTTGCTGCCCCTTGACCCGTGTCCTTCTCCCCACAGCCATGTCCACAGTTGGTGGGAACTCAGAAGGTGCCCCGTGTGTCTTCCCGTTCACCTTCCTAACCAAGAAGTATGACAGCTGCACCACCGCCGGCCGTGGTGACGGAAAGCAGTGGTGCTCCACCACGGCCAACTTCAACGATGACCGCAAGTGGGGCTTCTGCCCTGACCAAGGTATGGGGCCCTGGGCATTGGGCAGAGACACTGGACAGCACCCTCCCTTACCTGGCCTGGAAACTCTCCTGAGCCCCCACTGCCTCCAGCATAGACTCTGCCCCCTGGACACCCACCTGCCCTGGTAGGGACACTCCCTGCCCCAGACACTGCCCATCTCTGGTGGAGACAGGTTCTCTGCTGAGGCCCTGCCCATCCAGACAGGGACATAGCTCCAAAACAAGACCCTGTCCTCCCTGGTACCTGCTTCCTAGATGGAAACTGTGCCTCCTGAGATGCTACTCTTCCCTTCTGCTTCAACCAGTCCTCCAAGTAGGGCTCTTACTACCAAAAAATGCTTGAATGGTGGACACAGGTTACCCTGCTCTGGAGAGATGGTTCCACTAAGACACATTCCCAATAAAGAGATGCCTTCAAGGAGCTGGGTGAGCAGCAGATAAGTGGAAAAAAGCCTCATGCTCTGACCCCACACTCCATGAACCCTTGCGGCCCCATCAGCACCATCTTTTACCAAAGTGTGAATGGCAGGTCCTTGTCAGTGCTGGGTTCTGGGGACACAGCCAGCTGGGACAGCTTTCTGCCCTCTAGGACTCACAGGCTGGGGTGAGAAAGTGGCCAGGAGATTGTCCGTGACCTTACTGTATGGTCAGTGCAGTGAGCAGGGTGCCTGGGATATAGTTCCTATTCTAGTCTGCAGGGCCCAGGGCCATCGGGCTCAAAGCTCCCTGGCAGCCCACGATGGCCAGGTGGGAGGGCTGGTCCAGGGCCTGCCAGAATTAGGACAGCCTCTCTTTGTGTTTTATTTTTTATTTAACTCACAATGAGGTGGAACTTGGCAAATGCTGGCTGACAGAGGCTGGCCAAAGGAGTTTTTCTTATCCCCTGCTAAATCCCATGCTAGGACCTATTCTGATTTTACCTGCTCTGCTCCAGCCTTCTACCTAAAGGTGGGACTCTCCATCAGCCTGAGTGGTTTGAGGCTCCAGAGCTCGTGTGGATCACCTGGGGTGAATATCACTTTCCTAGGGCTGCCAGGACAAAGTGCCACAAACTGGCAGCTTAAAACAACTTAAATTTATTCTTTCATGCTTCTGGAGGCTAGAAGTCTAAAATCAAGGTCACTCCAGTCTCTGCCTCTGTCATTACATGGGCTTCTCTCTGCGTCTGTGTCTGTCTCTGTGTCTCTTCTCTTCTTATAGGATGTGAACCTTATTAGATTAAGGGTCCTCCCTACCCCAGTATGACCTCATTTTAACTTAAATCTTAATTACCTCTGCAAAGACCGTATTTCCAAATAACGTCACATTCACAGGAACCCAGAGTTAGGACTCAAACATATCTTTTGGGGGGACACAATTCAACCCAGTAGGGTGTAACATAGACTTTGCTCAGTCTGTGGCTGAGCCTGGGCAACCACTCCCCGAGCCTATACCCATTCTCTTACCTCTTTGAAGACTCTGAGGGGCAGGTTTTGCCTCTTGTCTTCATAGAGAAACACAAAGAGCCAGAGACGGAATGTTTAATGAGTGGGACTTTAAGTAGAGGATTTGCAGCTGCTATTCCTCTTCCTCTTTTATGGCACATGCTGCCTACCCTGGAAAGGGGTGAGAGGACTTTGGCTGATACCTACTTGAAAGCAATAAGCATAGTCTATTAACCCCAGAAATCTTGGGAGAAGGAAAAATCAATGCACGCCACTTCCAGGGCTCTCAGTTCCGCTATGGGGATATCCTCAAAAGTCTCCATTGCTGGGGCCAGGTCCTGACTCCTCTCTCATCTCTCTCCCCCATCTTTCAACCCTCTTCCCACATTGCTGCCCTCAGGGTACAGCCTGTTCCTCGTGGCAGCCCACGAGTTTGGCCACGCCATGGGGTTGGAGCACTCACAGGATCCTGGAGCCCTGATGGCGCCCATTTACACCTACACCAAGAACTTCCGCCTGTCCCAGGATGACATCAAGGGCATTCAAGAGCTCTATGGTACACCTCCATTTGGGGGCCTCCGGGGGGAGTCTGGGGAGGTTGTGCAGCTTGGGATGGAGGCCCGGGGGTGGGAACCAGCAAAGTCCCATCTCTCCAGGACAGCAGAGCAAGAGGCAGGTGTGGTGACCAGATAATAGGGAGTCAGAGCCATGCTCCGAGGGGATGCTTAGATAGCACTTTCCTTTCCAAATAACACTAGTATCCATGCCCCTCTTGGTTTCCCATTTCTAGGGCTCTCCATTTCCTACGTGTAAACTGAGGCAGAGAAAGGTAACCTTTCTGGCCCAAGGTCACACAGACTTAAGCAACCAAGTGAAGTTTAGAATCCAGGATAGTTAGCTAAGTACAGGGTGGAATTTACTATCATGTAGAATGACTTTAATGATACAGGGGTGAACGTTTCTAGTTTTCATAAGATGCTTTTATTTTAATATGTAGTAAAAACATACCAATGTCTTAAATTAATGATTTATTTATTGTTAGTACTTGCAGTGAGGCTAGAGTTTAAAAAGTCAGTCCATTTTTAAAAAACATTAAACATGTAATGGTCCTGGTCGTACCTGGACCAGGCCCAAACAGTGAAAGTGGTGCTGAGTGATGAAGTTTGGGGGACAGTGGACTTAGGAAAAAACCTGAGATCCAGAAAGAGAAATGCCAAGTTCAAGTATCTTCTCTGCCATTTACCAGCTGCAAGAGATTGAGCAGGTCTTTACCTTTCTGGACAGAGTTCCTCCTCTCTAAAATGTGGCTGGTTATTATAAGGTATAAAGGAATTAATCCTTGAGGAAGTGCCACACCCCCAGTGCTGGACACTGGAGTGGCCCCTGACTGTTTTGATTCTCTTGTGGGCATAAGAATCTGAGCTTTGGGTTTGAATCCTTGGGCAAGTTATGGGATCTTTCTGGGCCTCAGTTTCCTTATGTGTGAAATGGTATAATAATGATAACCACCTCCCTGGGATACAGACAGGACTGATTCAGGTGGTGTCAGGAAGAGCGTTATGTGAAGGGCCTCGGGACTCTGGTTTCCCTTCATTCTCCTCTCTCTGAGTCCAGGCATCTCTGCTTATCTTACTGGGCTTACACTAAGGCTCGAATACTATTTCTGCTGACCCTTAACAGGTTGGATAGGCAGCCCTGGGGGCTCAGCCTGGTGGGGAGAGCCCCTGGAGCTGGGAAGAGTCTAAGGTCAGGTATCCTTCCCCAGGAGGCTCCCCTGACACTGAAAATGGTACTGGCCCCACTCCCACGCTGGGACCTGTCACACCTGAGATCTGCGTACAGGACATTGTCTTTGATGGCATTGCTCAGATCCGTGGTGAGATCTTCTTCTTCAAGGACCGGTGAGTGCAAGAGCTTGCTTTTTGTCATCTTTGCTCTCTGTCCTCTGCCCCTTCTCCATTATTCTTGTGCCCTCACCCCTTGCTGAGGACTCCACGAGGGCCTTCACAGATGACCTGTACTAGACAGTTTTTGCTGTGTATCAGGCAACCTGCAGTTCTCAGTGGCTTACACCAAGCATTTCTTTTGCTCCCTCATAGTCTGTGGGTCTACTAAGTGTCTTGGCTTCTGGCTGCAGTTTGGGCTCAGGTATGCTCTGCATGTCACTCCTTTTCCTAGGATTAGTGGCTACTCATGGCAGATCAATCCATACAAGCACATTTGAAGCCTCCACTCACATCATGTCTGAGAATATTCCATTGACTGAAGCAAATCACATGACCAAGCCTAACACCTACTCTAGGAGATGGTACTGCAAAGTCACATGGCAGTGCCCATGGATGTGAAATTCTAAATTAGGAATGAAGGGAGCAACTGGCGACAATAATTCAGCCTGCCGCAGACCTTCTCCTGGAATGGAGTTGACCTCAGATGGCCAAATTGCTCTATGTATGAGTAGCAAGTAACCACAGGGTAGAGAGAGGTAGTATTAATGCTGTAGATAAAGGCCCCCATCCAGCTGACCAACTGAGGCTGAGACTCACCCTAATACCCTAGTCCCATGGGGAATGACAGGCAGTATCTAGGATTCCATTAAGGTATCCATCCATCATCCATCCATCAACCGTCCATCCATACCTACCTGCATCCATCCATTCATTCATCATTCATCAATCCATTCACTTACCACCTCATACATCATCCATCCATCCGTCCGTACATCCATCCACCCATCAGTTATCTATTATCATCCATCCATTATCTTTCATCCATCCATTCATCCGTCTATCCATTATTCATACCTCCATTCATTTTTCTGTCCCATTCATAAAGTGTAATAGTTGAGGAAATGGGCTCTGGAGCCAGATTATCTGAGTTAGAATACTGGACTTGTTATATATTGGTTGCATGATCGTAGGCAAGTTAATTAAGTATCTTTGTACCTTGGTTTCTTCACCTATAAAATGGGGCTAGTATTCCAACCTGTCTCATAGGGCTTTTCTAAGGATTAGATGAGTTTAGTGCATAGAACAATATCTGGCAGAGAGTAACTATATTTAATCATATTAGCTATTATTATTGACAAATAATTATTTGCATCTACTGTGCCAAATACTTGCCAGGCTCTAGTAGCTGGGGGAAGAAAGATGGTGTGCAGGGGTACAGGAGCTGCCTAATGTCTAAATCAGTGTTCTAAAAGAAAGGTACAACAAAAAAAAGTACAAGGCTTCCTATGCCAGAACCACCTGAGCGTGAATGTTGAAGTAGGGATTTTTGCCCCCAACTCTAACCCTCTGACTGGAATCTCTGGGTGTGGGCACCAGGAATCTGCATTTTAGCAAATTTCCCCAATGATTCTGATGCACAGGAAAGTTTGTGCATCACCAGTCTAATTTAGAAAACAGGCATAGAGAACTGACAGTAATACAGGGCAGAATGAAAGAAACGTGATTGCAGAAGCGTTAGCAAAATGCTTTTGTGGGCATTTCTGGTTCAAGGAAGGCTTCACCAATGAGTCAGCATTGGAGCAGGGCCTTTCCAGGAGAAGCAAGATTCTGATAGATGGCAATTGGGTTAAGAGTCAGGAGGGTGTTTGAGACAGGGGGAACTGCACAGCAAAGCCATAGAGATGTGAAAGTTCCTGGCTTAGACCAGGAGGAACAGAGAGCCTGGTAAGGCGACAAGATGTTCCCTACACTTTTGTGAAGGGCCCCCTATGCTGTAGGCACTGGGTCAGGTTCTGGCGTGCAAATGCTCTGCCTTTCACAAGGGTCTGCCGGCCAGTAGGGAGATGGCAGGAATGCAGAGAGATGAGACTCAAAATGCAAAGAGAAGTCAGGTACTGCTAATCAGGCCTCAAGTGTTCAAACCAGGATGTGTAACAGTAGACACGTGTGCTGCCCTGAAGCACCGTGACAGGGATGGAGAAGAGGCAAGCCAGGGCACCCTGCTGTCCAGCAGTGTCCTTAGCCTGGAGCACTTCCAACTAAGGAAGCCCTGACCACAGTGCAGATCTGAGAAGTGTGGACCTAGGAAAGGGTGCAGAGCCTGGGCCGGGCTGGAGCCGTCCCTGGCCTGCCACATCACAGTTTCTTTCAAAAGGAAGTTGATGCATATGTAGTGGGCTCATTGAATTAATCAGTAATTATTTAAGTCCTGACCATGTGAAAAAAATTGTGCTAGGTACCAAGGGGACAATAAGGACAGCATTGCAAGATGACTAAACTCAGACCTTGGAGTCACGTTTTGATTAAACTGGCTTTGAATCCTAGTAATTCCTTAACCACTCTGAGCTTCATTTGCCGGATAAGGATAGTGATACCTTCCTGTATTAGGATGTTTTGCTGCAAGTGACAGAGACACCCCTACTGCCCCAACTCAAGCCACCTTAAACAGCAGAGAGAAATTGCTCTCACATGGCACAAAGTCCAGGAGTAGGGCTGCCTCCAGGGGCAAAAAGAGGGTCAGTGACTCGATGTCTTTGTCCATTGCCAGCTTCAGCATTGATGTCATCCCTAGGCTGGGTCCTCTCATGGTCACAAGATGGCTGCCAGTGGCAATTGAGGCTGCAGGCTTCTCTGTCCATGCCTAGCAAGAAAGAGAGAGAGAGAGAGAGAGAGAGAAGATGTGAAAGTTCCTGGCTTAGACCAGGAGGAACAGAGAGCCTGGTAAGGCGACAAGATGTTCCCTACACTTTTGTGAAGGGCCCCCTATGCTGTAGGCACTGGGTCAGGTTCTGGCGTGCAAATGCTCTGCCTTTCACAAGGGTCTGCCGGCCAGTAGGGAGATGGCAGGAATGCAGAGAGATGAGACTCAAAATGCAAAGAGAAGTCAGGTACTGCTAATCAGGCCTCAAGTGTTCAAACCAGGATGTGTAACAGTAGACACGTGTGCTGCCCTGAAGCACCGTGACAGGGATGGAGAAGAGGCAAGCCAGGGCACCCTGCTGTCCAGCAGTGTCCTTAGCCTGGAGCACTTCCAACTAAGGAAGCCCTGACCACAGTGCAGATCTGAGAAGTGTGGACCTAGGAAAGGGTGCAGAGCCTGGGCCGGGCTGGAGCCGTCCCTGGCCTGCCACATCACAGTTTCTTTCAAAAGGAAGTTGATGCATATGTAGTGGGCTCATTGAATTAATCAGTAATTATTTAAGTCCTGACCATGTGAAAAAAATTGTGCTAGGTACCAAGGGGACAATAAGGACAGCATTGCAAGATGACTAAACTCAGACCTTGGAGTCACGTTTTGATTAAACTGGCTTTGAATCCTAGTAATTCCTTAACCACTCTGAGCTTCATTTGCCGGATAAGGATAGTGATACCTTCCTGTATTAGGATGTTTTGCTGCAAGTGACAGAGACACCCCTACTGCCCCAACTCAAGCCACCTTAAACAGCAGAGAGAAATTGCTCTCACATGGCACAAAGTCCAGGAGTAGGGCTGCCTCCAGGGGCAAAAAGAGGGTCAGTGACTCGATGTCTTTGTCCATTGCCAGCTTCAGCATTGATGTCATCCCCAGGCTGGGTCCTCTCATGGTCACAAGATGGCTGCCAGTGGCAATTGAGGCTGCAGGCTTCTCTGTCCATGCCTAGCAAGAAAGAGAGAGAGAGAGAGAGAGAGAGAAAGGTCCCCAGATATGTATACAAATCTATCTGTTCAATCTTATCATGCCAACATATTCATATGGCAACTGCCATATTATTAATAATTATTGATAAGCTCTGATTGGTTTAGACCAGTAATTCTCAAACTTTGGCATGCATTAGAATAATCAGAAAGGCTTGTTAAAACACAGTTTTGGGGGCCGGCCCCGTGGCGCACTCTGGAGAGTGCGGCACTGGGAGCGCAGTGGCGCTCCCGCCGCCGCGGGTTCGGATCCTATATAGGGATGGCCGGTTCACTCACTGGCTGAGTGCAGTGCGGGCGACACCAAGCCAAGGGTTGCGATCCCCTTACCGGTCACAAAAAAAACCAAAAAACAAAAAAACACAGTTTTGGGCCCCAAGCCCAGAGAGTCTGACCTATAGATCTTTGGTAGGACCGAATAATTTGCATTTCTAACGAGTTCCCAGGTGATGCTGATGCTGCTGGTCAGGGGTCCACACTTTGAGAACCAGTATCTATCTTGGGCTAATCAGTATCTATCCTAGAATGGGGATTGGGGTTATAGGGTGGAGGAAGGCGAAGAATGGATCATAAATGTGGAGTTCTGTGAGGAAGGATGATAGGGAAATAGACAATACATGCTGGGTAGACCACCAAGAGTGCATATTATAATACTGTGAGGATTAAATTACAAGGCACATAAGGTGCTCGGCGCTTAGTAGGCGATCGATAAATGATAGCTCTTACTCTTGCCAAAGTACACGAATCCATTCCATTTCAGTTCAGGAAATGTGTTTGGGTGCTATCAGCCTCTGACTCAGTTGGTTTCTAATCAAATAGCAGAGATAAGACAAACAAACGATACTGTTCCAGGCACTCATTGTTGATGGTTTTGAGAGGCTTACAGGAGGGAGAGCACAGTATGGACAGAGGAAGTCAGGGAAGGCTTCCTGGAGGACATGGAGGGGGGGAGCAAGAAGGGTTGCTTCTCGACCCTGATATCTTGCAGAGAGGGGCTCTGCCCATTTTCCAGTTCTTCTCCAACCTTCTTTTGAATCTTATCATGCCAACATATTCATATGGCAACTGCCATATTATTAATAATTATTGATAAGCTCTGATTGGTTTAGACCAGTAGTTCTCAAACTTTGGCATGCATTAGAATAATCAGAAAGGCTTGTTAAAACACAGTTTTGGGGGCCGGCCCTGTGGCGCACTCCGGAGAGTGCGGTGCTGGGAGCGTAGTGGCGCTCCCGCCGCCGCGGGTTCGGATCCTATATAGGGATGGCCGGTTCACTCACTGGCTGAGTGCAGTGCGGGCGACACCAAGCCAAGGGTTGCGATCCCCTTACTGGTCACAAAAAAAAACAAAAAACAAAAAAACACAGTTTTGGGCCCCAAGCCCAGAGAGTCTGACCTATAGATCTTTGGTAGGACCGAATAATTTGCATTTCTAACGAGTTCCCAGGTGATGCTGATGCTGCTGGTCAGGGGTCCACACTTTGAGAACCAGTATCTATCTTGGGCTAATCAGTATCTATCCTAGAATGGGGATTGGGGTTATAGGGTGGAGGAAGGCGAAGAATGGATCATAAATGTGGAGTTCTGTGAGGAAGGATGATAGGGAAATAGACAATACATGCTGGGTAGACCACCAAGAGTGCATATTATAATACTGTGAGGATTAAATTACAAGGCACATAAAGTGCTCGGCGCTTAGTAGGCGATCAATAAATGATAGCTCTTACTCTTGCCAAAGTACACGAATCCATTCCATTTCAGTTCAGGAAATGTGTTTGGGTGCTATCAGCCTCTGACTCAGTTGGTTTCTAATCAAATAGCAGAGATAAGACAAACAAACGATACTGTTCCAGGCACTCATTGTTGATGGTCTTGAGAGGCTTACAGGAGGGAGAGCACAGTATGGACAGAGGAAGTCAGGGAAGGCTTCCTGGAGGACATGGAGGGGGAGCAAGAAGGGTTGCTTCTCGGCCCTGATATCTTGCAGAGAGGGGCTCTGCCCATTTTCCAGTTCTTCTCCAACCTTCTTTTGATCTCGATTCCCATCCCATCATGGAATCATCACCAGCATGTTTCTGCTGGGCTCGGGGAGGCACATGTGGTTAGAGCTGCAGAGTGACTGAAGGCGTGGTTTTCTGTGTCCCCTACCCACCCCCAGGTTCATTTGGAGGATGATAGCGCCACATGACAAGCCTACAGGGCCCCTGCTGGTGGCCACTTTCTGGCCTGAACTCCCGGAAAAGATCGATGCTGTCTATGAGGCCCCGCTAGAGGAGAAGGCTGTGTTCTTTGCAGGTGTGTGGGGAAGGTACTGCGTGGCCCAGGCTCACTCCCGCTCCCAAGCCACAGTTCCTGTGCCCCCGTGGGTGCTGCCTCTCCTTTATGAGTTCATTCTTTCAACATCATTTCCCAATGCTTAGGATTCATCTGGGAGATTGGTTCAGACACCCAGCATCAAATAGCATTAACCCACAGAATGAACATTTAATTTCCTTTTAATTCTCTTTCAATCCTTCTGATTCCTTTTCTAGAAGGAAAAAAATCTCAGTTTAGTGCTGGTGTGTCTCTAACATCTTTCTAGTGCTAGAGCCTTTGGCAGGCAACAGTTTTTTATAGAATTTTAAAAAACTGATTTGTTTTTATTTTAATTTTTAACGTGCATTTATTTTTTTATTTTTTAAAAAGATGGCCGGTAAGGGGATCTTAACCCTTAACTTGGTGTTGTCAGCACCACGCTCACCCAGTGAGCGAACCAGCCATCCCTATATGGGATCCGAACCCATGGCCTTGGTGTTATCAGAACCGCACTCTACCGAGTGAGCCACGGGCCGGCCCCATAGAAATTTTTTTTTTGTCTTTTTCGTGACCGATAAGGGAATCGCAACCCTTGGCTTGGTGTCTCCTGCATCGCGCTCAGCCAGTGAGTGCACCGGCCATCCCTATATAGGACCCGAACCCACGGCGGAAGCGACGCTGCGCTCCCAGCGCTGCACTCTCCCGAGTGTGCCACGGGGCCGGCCCTTAACATGCATTTATTTTAACAGAGCTAGTTAGTTAGGATAGTGTGGCATTCCAAACCAGAACGGAAATGGATTAATCAACAAATGATATTTAGACCACCAAAAAAATTCTTTTGAATACATTTATTTTTAAAGATTCAAAAACAAATGCATTGATAGCAAAATATTGAGTAAATAATAGGACAAGGAGTCTCTAGAAGTGGTAAACATCATCAAGGAAGGGCACATATGGCTAAAGTTTGGGAAGCCCTGATCATTCGGCATTTATTTGAGCACCTGCCCTTCTGTTGCTCACAAACTACTTGGGGAGACAGACAACCAGGCTGTTGTGAGAAAGTGCAGCAGGGCTATGATGGCGGGTCCAAGAGGGACCCTACCCTGGTCAGGGGTGGGAACACAGGCTTTGTAGAGGACCTGAGGGCTTAGCCAAGATTATGGGTACTTACCATCCCATCCAGGCAGCTGCATCTCCTCCATCCCACAGTGACCATGAGTCCTGGCCAGGGCAGCTGCTGGCTCCCAGAGCACCTTAGTGCAAATTAGGAAGAGGTGTCTCTTCATGGCAGGCATGGCACTCAGAGCACATGGCTTGGTGAGCAGAGCGTGGGCTGGATTTCATCCCCCCACTCACCTCGTTGGCTGGCACCTTCTGTGATCAATTTGTAAAACCCCATGTGTGAGCCCTGATTCTGGGCACCAAACCCAGAAATGAGCAGGAACCTGTGTCACTGTTGAGAATGGCTGCACTGGGGTCTCCAGACAGATCAACGATGGGAGAGATGGGCAGGTCTGGGGGATTTGAGCACGAGCAACCAACACATCCCTTGCTTCCACTCCAGGGAATGAGTACTGGGTCTATTCAGCCAGCACCCTCGAACCAGGGTACCCCAAGCCACTGACCAGCCTGGGATTGCCCCCTGATGTCCAGCGAGTGGACGCTGCCTTTAACTGGAGCAAGAACAAGAAGACATACATCTTTGCTGGAGACAAGTTCTGGAGGTAAGGCGGTGGGGAGCCCAGCAGCCCAGCTGGCTGCGTAGAGGTAGAGAAGACACTCTGGGCCTTCATGCCTCCTGCGTCAAGTTCAGAAGTTGGTGGGCCATGGATGCCCCCTGTCTGGTCTCTAACCTACCAGGATGCAGCCCCTCTGAGAAGTCACCAGAGAATGAAGCATCCTTATGCACATTGCTGTTATAATTCTGGTCAGAATCTCCTTTCTCTTCTCTGAAGTCTTTTGATTGGTTCCATATCTGGTCTGGAGCCTCACATTTTGGGGTCAGTCACTGAAGAAGGGGGTAACAAAAATAAAGATAGCAGCTGCTGCTATTGACGTTATGTGCCAGACACTATTCCAAGGACTCTACGAGGTGCATGTTATTATTTTTCCCATTTACAGATGAGGAAACTTGGGTTCAGAAAGGTTAAGTAACTAGCTTAAAGTCACACAGCCAGTAGTGACAGGTTGGAATTTGAACCCTGGCATTCTGGCTCCATGAGAACATGCTAGAGAAATTCACTATACTATATTAAACTATACCTGAAATAATAGGGTCCCAAGAGATGGGGGTGGTGAAGGCAGGGATGACAGAGGACAAAATATGAAGAAGACAGAGATGGGTGCACCCGCTGCCCACAAGAACCAGCATCCAAATCAGCCCCCTTGGAAGCAGCAGACACCCCCTGGCATGTCCTCAACAAGCCCAGGGGCTGTGGGCACAGACTGGCAGGGGGAAGTTTGGAAGCAGGTAGCTCTCTGCGGCAGGTCATCTAAAGGAAAAGGTCCAGTTCTGAGAGGCCATTGTCAGGGGTAAGGGGCCAGGAAGCCCACTATCCAGGAATGGTTGGTGAGAGGCAGCCCAAACCTCAGGAGTTTGATTATAATTCTTCACATTTTCCAGATGAGGAAACCAAAGTCCGAGAAAATTAAATAACTTGTCCAAGTTATTTCTATATAAGTGTGTTGGCACAGAGCCAGGATTATAACTTCCCTTTTTGTCTTCTAACCCAGTACCCGCTCCAGTATACCCTCCAGATCATTTGGTTAGTGAGGGAGGGGTGGTTGGTGCAGAAAGGCTTTCCATGTGTCTTTTCATCCCCTTCCTCCTAGTGTCCCCACATTCCTTCTGTGGCTGCCACTGCATTGGGGCCCTACCCAGGAAGTACTTAGAGGGCACTCCCTGAGGCCTTTGTCTGCCATCCCCAAAACAATCCCACTTCATTCCCAAGGCTTCTCTCTTCTCCCTCCCTCTTCCCTGCCCCCACCCACCCTGCATTTAAAAGCTGTTTATGTCCCTCGCCTGCCAAAGTCAGGGTGGAATTCCAGACATATTGCTAAGACACTTAGCAACCTAAGCTGATTAATATCTCAAGCCTCGAGGAAGAAAGCAGTCAGCCAGGAAACCACGGAGTGGGCTCTATGCCCACAGGCTCTGGAACACTCCCGGGCACACACACGTACTGCCAATGGCATCTCAGCCTCACAGGCGCTCCAGATCTCCAACTCTTAGAATCATGGACAGCAAGAGACATGGAATCATTGAAACATGAATCTTAGAATCATGAAGCCCTAGCATCTTTGAGTCATGGTGTTGGAAGGACTTTTACAGTCACCCTCCAGCGCACCTGATGTATGTAAACATATGAGAACCAAGGTGTCCACGTGTGAACATGAATGCATGTGCACACACATACACACACACACACGCACTGACATGCAGGCTGTGGCAGTGCCTTGCTGAGTTTCCAGGCAGAGTTATCTGCCTCCTGATCCTATTGTAGAACAAGCCCACCTCCAAAAGCCGGGGCCAGTACTGGCAGCCGGCTCTGCTTCCGCAGTAGGGGCAGATCTGACAGGCCTATCAGAGGCTCTGGGCTGGGCTTCCAAAAGATACATCTCTCCTCCAGGAGAGGCAGTTAATGAGCTTGTGACACTGACCCTGGTCTGCAGAGGCCCTGGAGGCATCCTTCCTGGAGGAGAGAGAGCCCCAGAACGGCGAGGATGAGGAGCTGCCTCCAGCATGCCAGGGAGTGTTCAGCCCCTGCTTTTCGAAGCTTCCACTAAGCCCACGAATATATATTCAACATCTCCCATATGCCAGATACTTAGCTAGGTTCTGGGGAAACAGTGGTCCAGAAATAGTCACTCCCTGCTTATGGTAAAGTAGGGAAAGAGACAAACATATTTGAATCAAATAAAGATGGCTGTCAGTACAGGCCCTGCACCACATCCCGGTAATGAGGCTATGCATGTCACCTGCATTTCTCATTTAAGTTAGATACTACTGTTAGCCCCATTTTCCGGGTGTGGAAGCTGAGGCTGGAGTGGTTCAAGGATACACAGTTTGAAAAACTGGGACACAAGTGTCTGTTCTTAATACCTCCTCTATGCTGCAATTCCTATAGCTACAGAGAGATATGGAGTGGTACAGAGAAAGCTTTCGAAACAGTGTTTCAGCAAGTGGGAAACATTATACCCACCAGGAGATTATGGGAATAGAGAAGAAAGTAGAGATGTGGTCCCCTTCAGAGCCAACATCTTCTGATGTCATGGTGGTGTTCTTCCTGGATGAAAGGAACTCGGAAGCAAATTGGTTCACTTCTTAGAACCTCCATTTTATCTATGAAATGGAGTTGATTCTTGCCCTCCCCATCTTCTGTAGGTAGAAAGAGAAAAAAATAAGAGCAAAATCAAGCCCAGGATATTGCTGAGCTATGATAACCCTGGGGAATGTAGAGGTCAGTGGAGGTGATGTGGACAGGAGTGTTGGGATTTTGAACTAGGGAACGTGATTTTGGTGACCCAGGTCATGAGGATGCATGTTAGGTTTTGCAAGACGTGTTCCTCTGATGCAGCTGGGGTTAAAGAAGGTTTTTCAGGGAGTTGTCAGGATGATGGGCAGAAGGAGAAGACCCCTGAAGGAGGGGGACTATAGGAGAAGCTGTCACTGGAGTCAAGGGTGGAGGTGGTTAGGCAGGCTGAGGGAAGAAGAGGGCCAGCTAGGAAGCACTGCAGGTGATAGCTTGGCTGGCACCAGGATGGAATTTATACATCTGTCTGGAAAATTAGCTCCAGGAGGGCAAAACTTGATCTCCTTTACCGAGCTATCTGGAGGCACATAGTAGGAGCTCATTAAATATTTATTAAATATTTATAGAACAATGAACAGGTCGAGGATAAGTGTAGAAGCAAAGGAATCAAAACGATAGCAGCACTTAAGAAATTCTCCAAACCATTAAAAAGACAGAAGTATTGCTAGCCAGGAAGAAGAATATGCCAACTAATGCCCAAGGTATTTACCTGAATTAAAGGCGGGCCCAGGACAACTGCGTGCCATGACAGCTGCAGCTGAAGTAGCATGTAGTCCACCCTGTGAGTAACAGGTTTTGGATTCACATGCACCACCTTGCATTGTTACTTCACTGTCCCAGTTATGAACAATAATCAGGATGGGGTTTGTCATCTACATATGACAGATGAAGAAGCAGCAGTTTGTCCAAGCCACTCAGTGAAAGAACGACAGTGCAGGTCATTGTCCCTGGGCTCCAAGCCTATGCTCCCCATACTACAGCGGGGATCAAGTTTTTAAGGGAACTAACATTTCCCTAGTACCTACTAAGTACCAGATTTGGGGATGGACACTTTGCATGTGCTCTTTTATTTAATCTATGCATTAAATTAAATATATCAAATTTAATACAGCCCCATTTTACAGCTGGTAAAACTGAGGCTTAGAAAGCAACTTGTAGCTGTGGAACTGGACAGGTCTGGGTTGGACCACCACTTAGCAGCTGGAAGCCCTTTTTAAGCCTCTGGTCTGTGTCATAGGATTGTTGTAAGGACTGAATGAGAAAAATGTGTGGAGAGTGGTTAACACACTGCCTGGCATGTAGAAAGTGCTCCTTAAGGGCCGGCCTGGTGGCACACTGCTACAGTGCGCTGCTTGGGAAGCGCGGCAGCGTTCCCACTGAGGGTTCGGATCCCATATACAGACCGGCCGCTCACTGGCTGAGCGAGGTGTGGGAGCAACACCGTGGGTTGCGATCCCGTTGCCGGTCCCGGTCCAGTGCGGGCGCGACACTGAGGGTTGCGATCCGTGGCCGGTCACGATAAAAGACAAAAAAAAAAAAAAAGAAAGTGCTCCTTAAGGGCCGGCCTGGTGGCACACTGCTACAGTGCGCTGCTTGGGAAGCGCGGCGGCGTTCCCACTGAGGGTTCGGATCCCATATACAGACCGGCCGCTCACTGGCTGAGCGAGGGGTGGGAGCAACACCGTGGGGTGCGATCCCGTTGCCGGTCCCGGTCCAGTGCGGGCGCGACACTGAGGGTTGCGATCCGTTGCCGGTCACGAAAAAAGACAAAAAAAAAAAAAAAAAGAAAGTGCTCCTTAAATATTAGCAGTAATCATAAGATTGTTTTTATGGGATTGTCCAAAGTCATATAACTAGTAAGTTAAGTGTAGAGTTGGGATTCAAACCCAAGTATGACTCCATGTTCCTCCACTGCAGCTAAAAGGCTAGGTCTGCTTTCCCAGGCCCACCCAGGAGCCATCAGTGGGGCCCTCCAATTCAGGTTGGGAAGATGGCCTTTAGAGAAGCCCAGCTGGTTCACTGTGTCCATTTCCTTACAGATACAATGAGGTGAAGAAGAAAATGGATCCTGGCTTCCCCAAGCTCATCGCAGATGCCTGGAACGCCATTCCTGATGACCTGGATGCTGTTGTGGACGTGCAGGGTGGTGGTGAGCAGCCCAGGCCTCTCTCCGCTTTCTAAGACTCCCCTCCCCCAGTCAGGGCCTAGCTCCCTGCAAGCAGGCAGGCCCCCATTGTACAGGGCAGGCCTGCAGCGCCAGGGAAAACAAACCAACCCCTTCAGCCCAGTGCTGGGAAGGCATCCAGACTCCTGACCTCTGCTCCCTCGGCCAGGCTTCAGGCAGTAAGACCCAAAGAGGCCCCTCACAGCTGCAGGGCCTGGAGCCAGAGCAGGGGAGGGTGGGAGGCCCAGAGGAAAGGGGAGGCAAGGAACATGGGCCACGTGCCCTGAATTCATTCTGGGGTTTGATCCAGGCCCTTTTGGGTTCTGCAGGAGGCCTTGTGACCACCTCCCATTAGCAGAAGGGTAGTTCTATTTGAGATAAGGCAAACTTTATCATGCTCTGTTGTTCATGTGATCCCTCACTCAACTCAGTCTGCCCCTGGTCCCTTTCTGAATAAAACACAACCAATATCAGCGAGGGATAGAATTTGAAGTGAAAACCATGTTACTGATGAGGCTTCTATGAGCTCTCTAGTGCCTCGGAAATGAGTTCATTTTGGCTTTTTAGAGGTTTCAGTTAAATTACACAAAGATTTTTTAGAGCACCTACCATATGCTAAGCACAGAGCCCTGACGTCCAGTAGCTAAAAGTCTTACATGTCCAAGAAAAAAGTTTAAGCATTATCTTTAAGAATAAACATCTATTGAGCACTTACTATGTGCCATGGTTTTAAAAGAAGTAAAGGAGATCATGTATGTCAGGACCCACAAATTCCAAAACCTTCAGGGGCCAGGCACGTAGCACGTGGCTCATCTACAGGGGACAGTTCCTTCCCAGGTTCTGATGATTATTGGCCTGCAAGAAGGGAGACCTACTATTGTTAGATATTCTTGTTGTTTTTAAAAGAAGCCAGAAATCTGTATTTTCATGTGACTTTTTCAGATATTCACGTGTTAGCAAGTTATTCAGAATTTAAGACAAAACAAAACAAAAAACTTGATATGAGCCAAATAAAATCCATTTGTAGGTCTGATAGGGCTGGAAGCTTCCTGTTTTGCCACCTCTGGTGTATGGGAAGTGCTTAATTTGGTGCTTGTGCTAAGTGGGGCACTGTTGTTTTTATTAATTATAGCATGTGTTATCTAATCTAATCTTCACCACAAGCCCTAAGAGGTTGGTAACTTTATCTCCATGTTAGAGATGAGCAAACAGGGACTAAGAGAGATTATTTCCATAGCCATTTCCCTTCCTCCTGTCCCAGAGGGGTCTTCCTTGGTTTAAAATCTTCTTTTCCATGCCAGGGAGAGACATTCAAGCTCCCAGGAACCTTCTGTGTGCCAGAATGTCAGGATGGGGTGGTCACAGCCTCTCTTCTTTCTCTGTCCCAGGTCACAGCTACTTCTTCAAGGGTGCCTATTATCTGAAACTGGAGAACCAAAGTCTGAAGAGTGTGAAGTTTGGAAGCATCAAATCTGACTGGCTGAGCTGCTGAGCTGGCCTTTGCTCCCACAAGTCCTTCCTCACCATCACCTTCCGCAGACCGGGCCCTGAGCCCCAGAGAAAGACCCGGAGGGGCCTGGAACTCCTGCCTTCAGCTCTGTAGTTAATCAGCATTCTCATTCCTACCTGGTAATTTAAGATTTCAGAGAGTGGCTCTGCCCTGTGCCCAAGGAAAGGTGCTGATTGTACTCCTCCCAGGTGTCCCTTCCCCCTTCAATCCCACCAACCCTCAGAGCCACCCCAAAGAGATGTTTTGATATTCTCAATGCAGTCCTGCTTTGGGCTGCCCTGGTGCTGTCACGCTTCAGGCTTTTCTCCCTTCCCAACCTTCTGTGGCTCACAGCAGCCGTGGAGCCAACAGAGACTGTCTCAAGAGGGCACTGGTGGCCCAACAGCCTGGCATGGGGCAGTAGGATAGGGGCACGGCCAGGTGGCCACCCCAGATACCTGGCTTGTCACTGCTAGCTGCCTTAGAAACTTCCCTACGTTAGCAATTTGCTTTTATTCACTTTGTTCTTTTCTTCTGGCTTTTTTACTTTTCCGCTTTGATACTGCATTTCCTGACAGAAGGACTCAGGTTGTCTGAAGTCGTTGCATGATGCATCTCGGCCCACATAGGGATGGTTCCCTTGTTCACTCTATTTAGTGTGTCCCCGCCCAGTCACTTCCTTCACTGGATGGAGGAAAACCGAGCCATGGCTCCCTGCTCAGCCCTCCCCGCCTCTCCCTTCAACAGTTCCCCATGGGAAATGTCAACAAGTATGAATAAAGACACCCATTGAGTGGCAGTGTTTGCCATCTGTTTTAGCAGAGCCCAGAGAGAGGCCACAGCTCCAGCCAGAAGAAAAAAGTTTAAAAGTCCAGATCTCTGCTTCCTACAGGGCACAGGTGATGTCTGCTGGAAAGGTCAGAGCTGTCAAACTAAACAGCAAGAGAACCTCAGGGTGGGGGAATTTGAGTCCCTCTGTCCCATAGAAAGAGCTCTGAGACAGCAGCAATCCTGTTGTTTTAGTTGTGGGGACTGCTTGAGGTTCACTTTCTCTCTGAGTCTCTGTTTCTTCATCAACAATAATACCAATGCTAATGCTACTACAAATAACAGTAAACAACAACAAAATATCCCTCTCTATTAATAGGGTGCTTTTGTGCCAGGCGTTTTACATGCATTACTTAATTTAACATTTCCAGCCACCTAAAGAGGGAAAGACTATTTATTATTTGTTGAATCTTATTGATGAGGAAACCGAGGCCCAAAGAGAAGGGATTTGCCCAAGGTCCCATAGCTATCAGGTAACAGAACCTGCATCAAGGCCAAAGGATAACCTAGAGGAGGAGCTTTAGCCCTCAGCCCAGAATCTCCAACAGCAGCATTATCCACCTTCCTGCTTCTAAACATAGCTACTATTAATAGATAAGCTTCTTACGCCTCCTTCTGAATACCCAACCCTAAGCCCCTCTTCTAAAGAAATTCTGGAACTACTGCTGAGCAGAAATTTAAGGCCACTTCCAGTTCCCATAGTCTGATAGTGTGTATTGCTTCAGGCCTCCCATGGTGGGATGGGTGGGGAAGGGGGACAGGACTCTCTGGAAGTGTCCTTGATGAGCCCAAAGTCATCTTTTTTCCTTCTATGGTTTGCCTACTGGCTTAGGCTCTTCAGGGCCCTAGAAAGTCAGCATTTTGTGCAGGTATCTGGCTAAAGAGCCACAAAAGTCTGCCAGTCTGTACTTGAGGACCTCCTAGGCTGAGGAATCAAGACTGTAATACACTGCTACATTGAGAGAAAACTCAGCTATTCCACAACATAATCATACCTAAAAGGTGCCATTTCTTGACTGCTTTTTTATTGACAGTACACCTGCATTATTTTATTTAATATTTACTAAATTAGGGTAGGAATTGATTTCTTGTTCCTAGGTGGGAAAATAAGCTCAGAGAGGTTAAGTGACTAGCTCAAGGCCATACATCTATCTAGTAGGGTTGGAAGATTCTGGGATTCTGTGGTCGATAAGCTTGGGGGAGCAGCTGTCCTGGGACCCAGGCTCAGATTCTCATCCTGGCCCAACTGCCTGCTGTGAGCAGAGCTGATCAGTCAGGATGAGTTGTGTACCATCTCCATCCTTGAACTCTGAGCCACTTGGGTTTGATCAGCTGGTCTCAGGTCCTGGGACAACCCCTGTTCCCTCTCCTTCCCTACTCCTATGTAGGTTCAAACAGGCGTTGAACTTCCTCAGAGTGAAATGGAGCCACAGCCTGTCATTTCCCTTTTCTGGGTTAGGTTCCTCATCTAGTGTGGAAAGCATCTGTTGTTTTTGTCTATTCTAGTAATAGCTCAACTTTCCTCTGGAGAACCATCTTCCCACTGTCAGTCCAAGTGTTTTGAGTGGGACAGATTTCACTCCTGGTACCAATTTCCATATTAGGACTCTCAGCTGTAACCAAGCACCCAACTCAAACTGATTTACGCAAAAACGAAACACACACCAGAGATCAAGCACGGATAAACAAAACCCACCCCAGAGATGTTAATTTACTTAACGGGAAGTGGTTGCTCCTGTCATTGGTGGATCCAGGTTCTACTTACCTGTTTTGTTTATCCCCATTTTACAGGAGGCAACCGAGGCTCATGGAGACAGTGATTTGGCTAACGTCACAGAACCAGTAAAATAGATTGGAAATCCAGTCCTCCTGACCCTAAAAGCAGAAAAGTATGCCCGAAGTGTCTCATTGGAGTGTTAGGGATACAGGGGTACCCTTCAGGATCATTAGTCTGAAGTAAAAGCATTCACCTCCAAGGGGGCGGGTCTATGTTACCGAGGAGGAGGAGCCAGAAACCTAAGAGGGTGGGGCTAGCGCTAGGGGCGTGGCCAGAGCCGAAGGGGCAGGGCGCCAGCAGCCGCAGTCTAGGTAACTTTGGCGCCTGCGTAGAGGCCCCCGAGCGGCGCCTCAGGCTGAGACTCCGGTGGGATTCCGGCTAAGTCTCGGCTGCGGCGCTTCGGTCGTGCCCGACGCCCCGCTGGGCCATGAGCCGTTGCGCGGCGGCGGCGGCGGTGGCGGCCGCGGTGCCGGGTGCGGGCGTCGGGGAAGGGGGGGCGGGGAGGGCGGGGG